CCTCCCCTGCCCGCGTGGGCATCTCGACGCTCTCGGGCCACACACCGCGCCTGCGTCGCCCTCATTTGCTGGAGCCTAAGTCTGGGCCCAGATCGCTGCTGATAATTTTCCTGCATCCGTCGTTAAGCCTCTTAAGTCTCTCCTTCGCGCTGGGAGTGCTTAGCGTGCCGTCGGCTCGGACCCGTCCCGGGTGAGCCCCAGGTGAAGTCAGAGTCGATAGCGCGCTCGTGGGAGATTATCCGGGGCTAAGCTACTGACGGGTGGCTCGGCCTCCTCGGCGGCCCTCCGCCCCTGCCCCTTCACAAACCCCCTGGGCTCGGCTAGGTCCCCGGGTGCTGTTTTTGTCTCGTTTGTTTAATTGATCTTTAGAGAGAGAGAGACGTCGACTTGTTGCTCCACTTATGGATGGGTCAGGGGTATGGGTTCCTGCCCCTGCCCTGACTGGGGATGAACCCGCGGCCCTGGCGGATCCGGACGATGCCCTAACCCGCGGAGCCCCCCTTGACGTTCTTTGAGAACATCTGGGACATACTTACTGGGGTGGGAAGGGCCGAACCGAAGCCCTTTCTTCTGCTGGTGGCTGATTAAACAGAGTCCGTCCCCGTCTCTAAAGGGGCTCCGACGATTCTGGGCAGAGCCCACGTCAGCCCCGCGCACGCCTGTGGGTTCGGCGTCTCCGTTTCCACCTTAAAGGGAGGCATATGCCCGGCCGGTGCGGCTCAGTGGTTGAATGTTGACCTAGGACCCANTGTTTCACCAAAGAGACTGTTTTAAGGCCTCCCGTTTCACGCCTGTGCCCCACAGGCGACAAAACCGGGGTTCGAGGGGTCCCGAAGCTTTCGCAACATGTCCAGCTGCTGGGACCAGGGCTCACCCGTACAGACATGAAGGAGGGGGCTCGGGCAGCCAGCTCCGAGAGCCGGAAAGTTCCAGCACATTCAGCCCGCTCGGAAAGACGCTCCCGTCTCAGGGACCCATCGTCATCAGACAAACCCGACGATCACGCCGTCCCTCTCACCTGTCCCCCCGGCTCCCCTGTCCCTTGAAAGCGTGTCGTGTGCGCTCAGCGAGCCACGGCTCCAGCAGCCCCAACGCCGAGGGGCAGAGCCGGGCGCCGACGTTGCTCATCCCAAAACCACGCACAGGACGGAGCGGGACGTTCAGGCCCTGCCCGCGGCTCCTCGAGATGACATTTGGCTCCTGTAAATATCTGTCACCCAGGGATACGGGTCGGCCCGTGAGTCACGCCTGCTGGGGCCGACCCATCCTCCACCGGCCAGAGCTCCGTCCACCGAGGGTGAAGCGGCGTAAAAACCAGGCCGAGGCTGTCGGGCTGAGCTTGAAGCGTGAGGGGGAAGCGGCCTGCGGGCCGCTTGCAAGGCCAGGGATGCGTTTCTGCGGCCGCCCCGTCGGGACCCCGTCGCCGGGCGCCCAGGGCCGCTGTGGATGGAGCTTGAGCCGCCTGCGGCCAGGAGGCGAGGGGCCCGCCGCCCCTTAGGGCCCTCGCCGGCGCGGTGGGGTGCAGGGCCCGGGGCTCGGGGATCCCGGACCCCCCCAGCCGGCTCCACAAGAACAGGCCCCGCGGCTGCTGGGAGTGACTAAGGCCGAGAAAAATGAGGGCCGGGGAGGACCAGGGGCGCCCCGGGCGATGGAGGCCCAGATAGCGGGCGGGCTCCGGGCTTCGTTCCCGCCTCTCGTTCCTCCCAGGGCTCCTGGCTTCTGGGAGACACAAGGGGAGGGCCGGGCACCCAGTGGGGACCCGCTTCTCATCCCTGACCCTAAACCCCGCACGGCACCCCCCTTAGTAGACCTCCCTTCCCGCGGCCTGTTTTTCCGGGCCTGGCTTTGGCCCTGGCCTTTCCTGTGCCCCGAGGCCCCTTGGGGCCCAGGGGACGGAGCGGCGCGGGCTCGGGCGCGGTCCTCTGCGCGGCGCGTGCTCTCCCGCGGCTGTGCCAGCCCTGCCCTGCCCGCGTCTTGCCCTTAGTCCCATTTCCCGCCTCCAGCCCCCTCCCCGGCCCCGAGCGGCAGCACCCGAGGCCTGGGCGCACCCTGGGGCTCGCGGGCACCCCATAGGACGCCGAGAAGATCCCCTGTTCGGCGCGTACGCCTTTCTCATCGGTACAAACCATGCCCACGGACTTTGTCCTGCGGTTGTTTTTCCACCCGGCACATTATTAGTATTATTAATTATTAATTATTAATAATTATTAATGCCTCCCTGCCGCGCGTCCTTGCACGGTAACCCTCCTGGCGTATTAACCCCGAGTCACCGCCTTGCCCTCCAGCACCCCCCCACCGAGGGGCCTCCTTGCGCCGACACCCCGAGGCCCTGCCCCCAGCCGTGGGACACCCAGGCCGTGAGGCTGCGGGGCTGGTCTCCATCGGGGGCACCGTCTGGCCCATGTCACGCACGTGGGAGGGCCTGAGGCGCCAAGAGGCGAAGCGACGCCCAGCTTCACATAGTTAAAGTGGTCGAGTGAGGATGCGACGCCGGATCGCCCCGGCTCCGGGCCTGCAGCCTTTCGCTGGGTCACACAGCCTCCCCGGGGCCTCTGTTAGACGCATCGGGGACACGGGAGGCCAGAAAAACGATCCTCCCGCCTGCCTGTGGGGCGTGGAGAGCCCAGCCTGCCCGGGATGCCCGGCCCGGGGTGGGCAGCCGTGTGTCGTCAGAGGCGAGGGACAGCCCATTGGCCGGGGGCCAGCGAGCTCAGCCTCCCCTGCACCCCGAATGCTGGCAGATCACCAGCTGCCATCTGGCCAGCAGAGCCTCTCCCGGCAAACGGCAGGCCCCCCTCTGGGACACTCGCCCGTGTGCCCAACACCAGTCAAGCCCGATGCCACGTTGATGGCTCCATTAATGAAGACGAAAGGCCGAGATATGCCAACGACGGATTAAATGGCTTCCTGGTAACACGATTATCTGTGAATTACTAGCTGCGCCGCGAGGCGGCCGAGCGACTAAGCCAGGGGACGGCTGGGAGCTTGGGGCCCGAGGCTCGCGCCTCCAGCCCCCGGGTGTCCCTCATCGCAGCAGAGCCTTTTGCTAAAGGACGCCCGGGGCGCCTTCCCCGGGGCAGGAGTCCCTCCCGATGGAGATTTAATTTCCTGAAATCCCGGCTCCCAAACTGAGAGCGGTCACGGGCCGGGCAGGGAGCGGGTCACAGGGACCCGTGACCGTCGGTGTATGTGCCCGGCGCTGCTGATCGAAGGAGCAGAAACGAAAAGATGGGGTGAGAGAGAAAAGCCCCAGCGCCTCCAGTCACTGTCCCCCACTTTCCGTCTTCAGGTCGCGCTGATCAAGTAAGTTCTGTGCTTTCCAACACATTCGTGACGTGAGTGCCTGTGACTCGGGCGTCGCTCTAGCTTTCCAGGCGAGCCAGTGAAGGCTGAGCAGGCCCTGGCCAAGCTGCGACCCCGCCCCGGGTTTTTCTGAGCCCACGCTTAGTGCCACCGCGAGGGAATGGCCCGCTCCGACCCCCCCAATGTTGGGAAGCCGCCGGGAATTTGGAGGGGGCTCCGGAGGGTCTTTCCAACGCAAACGGAAAGCAGCCCCCGTAGAGAGGCTTTCAGATTTCATCTCCAAGACGCGAGATTGGTGCACGTCGGGGGCGCTGTGGGGGGGAGAGGGTTGTTTGCGACGATCGCCGAATCATTTGACAACTGCAACAGCTTCCAATTCGGCTGGAATTTTCTAAGAAAGTCTTTGCTTGGCAACTGCGGGATTTCCGAGGATCCTATTTAGGCCCAAACGTCTGGACATCCCCCTGCGGTTGGATCATAAGAGGCCAAGGACGTGAATGATGGTGTCACCTGGTTCGAGGTATGTTGTGTCCAGTTATCTAACGACGGGTTGAAAGAGCTCTACGTGCCGGGCCGGGTGGGGCTCAGCGGGTGAGCGTCGACCTAGGATCCGGGAGATCGGGGTTCGAATCCCGGTCAGGGCCCAGGCCCGGGGTGCAGGCCCCTCGATCCCCAGCAGGGGGCGAGCAGGAGGCGGCCGATCCATGACTCTCATCATTGATGTTTCTCTCTCTCTCCCTCTCTCTGAAATCAATAAAAATATATTAAAAAAAAAAAAAGGAAGAAAGAGCTCCACACTGCCTGCTTCCTCTCGAAATGAATTTCCACGCACCCCAGAGAGACAAGCCAGCCCGAGCTCCGAGATTCGCAGCAGCAGGCGGCTCCCCAGTCAGACGCGTGACCGGGGTGGGACCGTTGGCGCTTATGTGGGGCTTTCATCCTGCGTGAGGCCCTTGAAGTCCCTTCCCGGGGAACAAATGAGATCACACTTCGCATCACCGTGCGGGGATCCTGAAACCAGCGGCCAGATTCCCCTGTCCTGCCCCTTCCCGGCTCCATTGTGATGCGTCCTCGCACTTATTTAGTCTCCTGCCTTCTCAATGGCGCCAAAAAACAAATTAAAACAAAAAAAATTATAGAAACGACCAGAAAGGCCCCATAATTGTAACTGGCTTGAGAAAGCCGTACAGAGGGATGAATAATCTCCTTCTTTGTTTCCATCTTTCGGAAATATTCCTCCCCTTTGTGTTTCAAAATACCTTTTTGCACCCGGCTTCGGTCAAAGATTGCCGTTGGCCATTTGCCAGCCTGAAACGTCCTACAAAATGAATTGCTCCTTTTGTAAATAAGAAGGAAAGAGAAAAAAAAAACTTGGGGAGGTGTTGCTTCGAAAGGCGGGGCTGGAGCTCTCGCTGGGCGGCGGGCTCACGGTGCGTCCCGCGGGTGCCGCGGGTGCCGCTTGGCGGGCCGGCCCGTGTGTCTTCTGTCTGCGCTTTGGGGGGGCGTCACAAATTTTTTTTATTTTTATTTTTTCCAGGAGAGGATCACCTGTTTCCAGGGTCAGCATGGCCTTTTGTTGGGGGGTTTAAACGACACAAAAATTGGGCCACGTTTTGAACCACAGGCCAGCCACTTAATGAGGACCCCGCCGTTTCCAAAGCTCCCCCCCCTTGAGCAACTTAATTTATTCCTCTTACCATTGAAACGCCGGCATTTCCTAACAGGGCTCTCGCGCGGAAATTCTGATTTCTTCTCTCTTTATCTCCTCCCTTTGCCATGCCCTCTGCTTTTCAGAAGGAAAAAAAATAAAATCCGAGCTTAATGGCACATCAAGGACAAATATCAGCGTCGTCAGAGCGTCCTTAGACCAAGCGGTTGTCAAAATCACCCCAATAACGCGCTGCAGGGCGCATTAGCATATAAATAATAAAGTTTTCTAGTTTTTACAAACTTGAAAATGTCAGCGGAAGCTCCCGCAAGGGAAATATTTGAAGCTCACGGTTTAAAAGGGAATTAATTCTCTATTTTTGCCCATTGACGTGCAAGGGACTCCTATATGTGGATACGCGATGTATGTAGGATTATTAAAATAACTTCCTTTCAAGGCTTTTCTTTCCAGATACAGTTCTTCTTGAATCGTATACATCTTAATATAATATTCAAAGTTATAAGGAGAGAATGAAAAGGTCTTGGTTGAAAAGATGGGCCTTTCAAGGCGGGATTGGACTGACGGTCGGTGAGAACTGTCTCCACACTCCCGTCCTCCAGGGACCTGGGTTCGTTTTGGGGTTTTTTTCACACCTCTGAAAATTAGCTGAAATAAACTATATTTTGCCAAAATGCCTGGGCAGGAAATTGCCACCAGGCATGAACAAGAGACATCCAAGCTCTTCACTGTCATGAAAATGCCATCAGTCCTACCTATAGTGAGAAACAAAAATACACAACCTTGCTCCAAACTGAAATATTTAGAAAAGTACCATTAACAATGAGCTCGGCCTAGGATGAGAAACCTGAAGGCGATTAAGTCTCTCCTCCAAAGCCTTTTTTGATATAAAAAAAAATTAAGAAAAATCTGTTTAAATGTCTATCTAAATTAAGAAAAAAAATTACGCACAATGTGGCTCTCCATAGACACACTGAAAAAAATAGCAGCTACTCAGCATAGAAATGTATAAAATAATATAAATGCCACTCAGTATATGAGTTTATAAAATAATATAAATGCACCGCACACAGCCACGCGCTGAGCAAAAACACAGTCGCAGGAGCCTGATTGGTGGGATCACCTCTCAAGTGCTGTTTCCCCTGAGAGCCAACTTTCATCTCAGGAAAAACATCATTTTAAAGGCAGAGTCCCAACAATGCAGCTTCTCGGGGTGAAAACAGAGAAGCTGGGCAGAATCGTTTCAGCGGAAATTTTAATGGGGACCGATAATCACTGGTGTCACTACCAATCACACTCTGTGGCTTGACAAATATTAACCAGCTCCCAGGCTTCACGGCTGTGTGTGCGTGTGTGTGCGTGTGTGTGTGTGTGTCTGTGATCATGTGTGTGTTTTAAGGCAAGTGTTTCCTCCCGATGAACTAGGGCCCCCCGAAACAACTCCTGCATTACGGGGGGCATTTTTGTGAACATCCACATTTGATTAAAACCCGTCAGACTTATCTTCTCGGCAGGAGGGAGGAAATATCTGTTTCTCTGGAGAGGAAATCAATGTGTCCGTGTGATAGATGCAGGTTGGGAGGCCGGGTGCTGTCGCTGAAAGCGAAGGGGCAGAGAGCCAGGGAGGCACCCGGCTGTCACCGTGGGCTGCTGGCATCGGTGTCGGGAGGCCAAACCCCGTTTCAGTCCCTGATGATAGGAGAGGCTGGCAGCCACCTACCCGATCGTTGGTGCTCAAGTTGTTCGATGGCAAAGCCTGCGCCCGGGTGTCTGTGGTTGAAGTTTCCGTGGCCAGGGCTCCGCTTGGCTGCTCGTGTCCGCGGAAAGGTGGCAGGTCTTCAAGGATGGCCAGCGGGGACAGAATGGCCTTTCTCCAGGCACACGGAAGGAGGGGTGTCTCACTAATATTTTCAAACGGGATCCTGACCTACAGGAAAGTTAGAAACCGCCTGAGTGTTGAGTAAACGTGAATTATTTAAACACACGCTGGACGCCATGAGAACGGTGCTAAAGCGGGAGGCTGGCGGGAAGGCGGCCTTGGCATTCGTGCGACAGGGGGCACGTCCACTCACACGTGAGCATGCACACCGGTGGGAGGAGGTTCATTNACGTGAGCATGCACACCGGCGGGAGGGAGGTTCATCGGGGCTCCTTGTGTGTCGTGATTTCTCTGCCACGAGCATGCATGGCTTTTACGCAGCAAAGTCCGTTTTGACGGGAAACAGGCGGGTGCGGCTTGTGCCTTCGGCTGACAGTGGCCTCTGGCCTGTCACAGTGTCATTTGCTTTGAAATCCAAACACCTGGGCGGCGAAGGCCGGAGCTGTGTGCTGTCGTTCGTCTTTTTTAGCGTTTGACTAGACGGGAAAATATGTAGAAGTCCTTCGGATCGTCGGGAGGGAGGCTGAACGGCCAGTTCTGGGTGTCGGAGGCAAAATCGAGCTCAGGAGGAAGAAAGGCTGGCTCGTGTCGCCGTCCTGTGTCCCTGGGGTCCTGAGTGGCCTGGGTCGTCAGCCCCCTCACTGCCCGGCCTCCTCTTTGCCTCTAACTGGGGTTCCCGCAACTGCTCTTTGCTGCAGGACACACGTTAGCCACACTCGTGGGTGCCTTTCAAAGCCCCCACGTCCCCCGCCACGCTGCTGGTTCACTGTCAATATTGAAAGCGATGGGCGCACGCTCGGGGAGCTCGTAAAGCGCCGAATTTACACCCCTCTGGGGTTTATCTTTTAGATTTATGCTTTCTGATTAAAATCAAGAGGGCACCTGGTATTTCTTTTTTTATTATTGATTCATGGGGGGGGTTAGACAGAGACGAGGGGAGAGAGACGTGGTTCTCATGGCTCCCCCAGCTGCTGGCAGGTGATGGGTGCTCAGCGAATTGCAGGTGCAAGGGTGGCCCGGCGGGTGTAGGGGTCGGGATCTCAGGACTGTATTTTAGGCAGATAGTCGATGCTCTTCGGTTTCCTCGCACAGAAAATTTTAGAACCTCCCCCGATGTCCACCAAGACCACTGTACATCCAGATATAAGGCGACTCTGGTCCGCCCCTGGAGCGAATTACAAGCATTTTACCAAAGGCCCTAATGGCCTTCCGACTCTTACTATTTTTTTACTCAAGGATATTTACTGTCCGGCCGGTGTGGCTCAGTGGTTGAGCATCAGTCTAAGATCCAGGAGGTCGCCNTAATGGCCTTCCGACTCTTACTATTTTTTTACTCAAGGATATTTACTGTCTGGCTGGTGTGGCTCAGCGGTTGAGCATCAGTCTAAGATNCCGGGCCGGGTGGGGCTCAGCGGGTGAGCGTCGACCTAGGATCCGGGAGATCGGGGTTCGAATCCCGGTCAGGGCCCAGGCCCGGGGTGCAGGCCCCTCGATCCCCAGCAGGGGGCGAGCAGGAGGCGGCCGATCAATGACTCTCATCATTGATGTTTCTCTCTGTCTCCCTCTCTCTGAAATCAATAAAGACATTTTTTTAATTAAAAAAAAAATATGTTTACTGATAGCAGAGGCGAAAATGCAAAATAATTGTGTGAAGCGGCCCCCTTTGAGCAGAATGATCGAGTCATAGCAATGGCACGAGCCACTGGTATTTTTTTAATTAAACATGTGACTTTCAAGTTGCTACTGAAATGGTTGGGAGAGCGAAGTGGGAATGTTGAGGACGGCTGGGCATCCTCCTGGGCACCAAAAGCTCTACGAGGAATCGTTGCGTTAGACCGAGAAGCAACGAGAAATGCGTAGCTTGAGTCGAAATCTGGAAAAGACTTTAAGGAGAAAAAATAAAAATAAAAATCCCCTTAGCAAACAGGCCCTGCTACCTAGAGAGGCTGGAACCAGTCTTCCTTGCCGGCGAAGCCTGAATTCCTTGCCTAGCCCTTTAAAGCATTTTCATGTACAAATCAAACACAGATGGCCCATTACGTTTATGACCTCCTGTCAATTACTCTAGATGGAGCATGCATTAATTATTGAAATATTTTCATAGGATACAAGTTTTTAGTGGCTACATCGCCACAGATAATTTCAGCTTTCTGATTAGAAGCCAGGCTAAGCAATTTTATTTACGAGAATTAATCTCTTGAATGTAGTAAAAACTACAAATACAGTAGTAGATTTTTTTTTTTTTTGATTTTTTGATTTATTTTTTTTTGGTTTCCATTTAACAAAGCCAACTTAGCGATCCTGGCCTGTATCCTTGGAAGTCCGCGTGACGCTCACATCACACACGATACGTAAACTCTGCCAGAATCTATTACAATTGTAGTAAATTTTGATTACTGGGGTTGTTTGTTATTTATGTCTCCAAGATAAAGATAATAGTGGGAACAGCCCTCTTCTATTCAACGTATGAATTACACCCATAAAATGCCTTGTTTTATAAACAGTAAAATAAAAGCAGACTAAACTTGGCCCAAGCTTCAGATTGTTGCATCTACTTGAGCTCAGCTCAATAAACACTTGAGAAGATGACAGGAAAGTCTGTGGGGTGCTCAGGCTTTTTACTGGGCCGCTCGTTTCTGTCTGGCATGGCCCATAAACCCCTGGGGCTGTGTGACCGTCCCAGGACAGCAGGACAGACCGTGCCCACGAAGCCACCCTTTCAGGGGGCATGAGAAACACCGAGAGGACACTTAGGGGAGGACCTGAACTAGTCGTCGCTCTGGAAGGAAGCTGTTCGTGCCACAAATATTAACTGAGCACCTACTATGCTCGGGGAACTTTCTTAGGTATCCGGAGCACATTGGGGAACAACAAGAAAAATACCTTGGCTCTTTCCAGTAGAGTTTCTAACAGGATTGGTTGCCTTTTGCTATCGTTTTTGCACAGAGAAGCTAAAGCTCAGAGAGGTGAGTTCACGTACCTGAGGTCACCCAGCAGGAAGGCGGGAAGCCCAGGCCATCAAAGGCCTTATTCTTAACCCACCGGCTCTCTCAGGCCTTTGCTGTTTCCAACTCACCTCTCCCTGGCTCCCTGGCCTCCTGGCCCCCTGGCCCCCTGGCCCCCTGGCCCCCTGGCTCCCTGGCTC